GGGAGCAGGAATGGCGCAGCGCTGAGAGCGTTCGCCTTCCACCAATGTGGCCCGGGCTCGATTCCGGCTCTGTGTGATATGTGGGTTGAACTTGTTGTTGGTTCTCGCCTTGCTGCGAGGGATTTTCTCCAGGTACTCCGGTTTTCCTCCCTCAACAAAAACCAACAACTCCAAATTCCAATTCGAACAGGACGGAGGACCAGCATGAAAACCAGCTAAGGCTGTATTGGTTTCCTCTCTAAATATTGTAGTTTCAGTCGGCGAGAAAACAAAAAAGTGAAAACAAATGTAACGCGGACGACAATATTGCGCACCAGATTTTCAGTCATTACTTTTACGCCCAAAGCAAACAATGTTACTCAAAATAGCTTTGTATTCGCGTCTGAATTGTTTATTCGTGGCAACATATATGAAGGGGTTGATGGTGCTACTCAAATAACACAAGAACCCGTATGTAAGGTACACCTGTCTCGGCAAAGTGTCTTCTCCACGTGCAGTGTCAATGTTATCCACGATACAAATAGGAAGCCAACAACACGTAAAACCGACCATTACTGCCGCTAAAGTCTTGGTCACTTTGGCTTCTTCAACGTTCGCTCTGAGTTGCTGAGGGTTATTTTCTTGCACGAAGACACGATTTGATCTAGACACTGTGTGAAAGACTTTGGCGTAACAGATGATGATAGCAGTTAAAGGAGTTGCGATGTAAATGCACTCGACAAATATAGTGTATGCGATGTTACTTTGAAATGAGTACCAGCACATTGCTTTACCAGCGTGAAATTTAACGGCACTTTTTTCGAAGAAGAACGGAGGAACAGATCCAACGAATGCCACGAGCCAGACAACAGCAATGTACATCAAAGCTCTTTGTTTTTTAAACACTACGGGGTACTTTACTGATTTAACGACACGAAAATATCGGCTCACTGCAATTATTGCCATGGTATTGAAAGAGGCCATTGCAAACGTAAACACTTCAAAGCTGAGAACACGACAAAATGTTTCGCCAAAAATCCACTCTCCTCGAAATAATGTTGCCACTGAAAAGGGCATACAGCAGACGGACATCAGAATGTCGCTTACACCAAGTGCTACTACAAACATGTTGGGAAGTGTACGAAGCCCCTGGTTTCTGCGCACGGCGTAACAAGTAAGAAGATTGCCAAAGAGGGCCACAACATTGATAACGGCAAACAAAGCAGTTTCAATCCAAACTAAGGTCTCTGTTCTCGTGGCTAACTCGAGAGAAAGGGATTCCTCCATGTTCCGCGATGATCGCAGGAGGATGAAAAAGTTTTGAAGCTTTCTAGCAAGTTATTGCGACGCAGTTAGCTTTAAACTAAGAATGAAACTCTTATAGCACGTGGAGTGACGGCGGACCAACTGTAATAACAGCCGTTATCTTCTGTCGTTTTCATGGGATGATTCAATAAACTGTCACGGTCAATTGTTATCTGCATCAGCTTTATAAACTTATATTGACGTTGTCTAGTCCTTTCTGACAACAAGCTGTCGGGTGAGATATGAGATTACTGGCGTCAGGCACGTAAAACTTGCCCATCGTTTACTATACTCCCTACAAAAATCAATTAAGGAATCCAAAAAACATAAAAACGTTCGCGCGTTGAGGAAAAGTTAACAAAAACTCACCTGTGAAGACATTGTAGTTATAAGTGGGATATTGAAAAGCGTGTGCTAGTCGACATGCTAAATACACTTAAAATAGAAAAGTTACAAATATAGCTAGACTTTTTAGTAAAAGGTGTAACAACCAACGCATTGAGGTTCTAAGCGCAGTAAGAAAAGTTCTACAGTAACTCAGAAGAAGAATTCAGTGAAGGAAATATATAAATCGGCTACAGAAAAACGTGAGGAAAAACGTTTGAAGAGCTAGAATGTGGTGTGAAAATCCGCTTATAAGCGTGGAGAAAAGTTAATTGTTAAGACAAATAAAATTTGAACCCACAGTCTAACAGATAGATTGAAATTAATTTATTTCAATTATCAAAAGAGAGCGATTTGAAGAGTTCAATTGACATTGTTAAAACAAACGTGATGTTTTCAACCTGTTTATTTAAACTACAACACGTACGTACAATTTTGAAAAAAAAAAATTTTCCAATGAGTATTTGTCACTAAAATGTTCATGTAGTAATATAAACAAAATGTATAATACGAACAACTATTGCCCATTCTGTGATGCTGGACTGAAACTGGGAAAAAATACAAGGAAAAAATTACACGTATTGTTATGACAATGCGAAAACAAACAATAGAAAGTTTTTGGGGTTTTTTTTGGAATTTTCTTCCGCAGCTGCGTGAATGGATTTGTTGATTTTCAGGCGAACATAAAGTGAACATTTCAACGAAAGTGAAAATAGAATACGAAAAGCACGATACAAACCACGTTTTATTGTCGATACTATTCACCTTTTCGCCCACTTCAGATGGCAACGATGGCAGAATCTCTAACGCCAATTCCGTGATGTTGCAATTTTCCTGTCAATGTTGACTGACTTTCGATTGTTTAAATATCATGGGGTTTTTTTTATGTCTCTTGAGGTATGACTTCGCCTTATCTTTTTAACAGTACGAAAAACCATAATTTCAATGAACCTCCTGATGTACAATGATTCTATTCATATAATGATTATCATAGTAATCGGCAATGATTACTGTATTCTTATCGGTAATAATTTCGAAACACAGAGGCAAGCGAAAATAAGCGATAAAAATTGACGTTTAGGTGTCATCATGGAACCACTGTCGTGGTGGTTAGAGACATTTTTCTACAGGTCTTTTACTGCTGATGTCACTAAATTTGCAAGATGTATTATACACTCTTCTTTTATATAAGAATGTATTTTATAGAATACCGAGGCTAAAATTTGCGAAAATTGAAGAACGTTTTTGGAATAAACCCCGCGCTAAAAGTTTGAAAAGAATATAAATACAGAATTATATGTTTTTAACTAAACAGTTAAAATTCTTCCTTTCTCTAAACGGCAAAACAAACACGAAAAAAAAACAACAACAACAACACTAGCCGTATGTTTGATGCCAATAACATTTCTGCAAAACAGAATCTGTTCACAAGTTGTTCATGTAAAACTTAATGTTCTGTCCCATAGTTGATAATACAGTGTTCAAACAGCATTTACTTAAAGTAACTGGACAAATTATGTATTCGGACTTGAAGTGAGCGTTACATGTTAACACCCAATAAACCGACAGTAGAGAAAACGGCATTTTTGGAGTTCCAGATAACTGCAGCCTCCTTGATAGGGTAAAACGTTCAGCAGAGATCTCCTCTGCGTTGCGTTGTAAACATAACAGTTCAATAGACACATGCACACTTGTTGTGCCCGTTTTTTCGATCCTGGAATGAACGATGGGAACACATAAAATGATGTTAACAAATATAAAATGAAGCTGTGGTCATCGAAGTTGCGCTGGCAATTTAAGCAATTGCATGTTAAACCCGAAACAGTAAAGATTGTGAGACTTCGATGGGATTCGAACGCGTGGCCTCTGTGTTAGCGCTGCATTGTTCTACCAATTTAGCTATGAAGAGCCATACATTGGAAGCACGTCAATTTATAGAGCTCATCTTAACCAATGAAAGGAAATGAACATGAAAAGAATGATGTTAACTGGGGAAATGCTTTCGTCCTTTCCTTATAGCATAAAAAAATATGCCATTGATCATAGCTTAAAGGAAATTTGCTGGCCGACTTACGGCTCTTTCGATCAACTGGTTTCATTAAAATCAAGAAGCCATGATCAGCAGACTGTATGTGTTGCGTGGCACTTATGACCACGCCAAAGTAATGGACAAAGTAGAAGAACCCTTTTAGGTGTCAAATAATTAGGTCAACACAGAGGTTTGGGATGTGGTTTCTCTTCAGCGTTTAAACTTGCCAGTTTTACAGTCAAACAATTACATCAGGTCTTAGTTATGGAGCAGGTTTCAGTGATAAAAGCTTTGTACCCATTCAATAGATGTTAAAAACAAGTTTCGAGTTCAACCCTGGCTTTGTAGATATCTATGTAGTTTCACCGACTCTCTGACTGTCTGAATCAGCAGAGTTAGATTTTGTTTAATGTCTCTAAATATATTACCTTCACAGATAAATCCAACTCTGCTTGTAAACAATAACAGCAAGCAGTGTCGTGGCACTGCAAACAAAGTTGTTTTGGAGTATTCAGAGAAGGAAATCAGGGAAAGCTCAGTCAGGGCCAGGCCGCAAGTTAGAAACTCACGTTAACGTCAGTCTAGTGAATTGCGTCATTAGTATAAGAGATTTAGGTTCTGATCAAGCTACAAAAATATCCACACTGAAAATTTAAAGGCGATGGCATGGCACACTGTCCCGAGAAATTTGTGACCAAAAACTCCAACTTTTCCAAGGATTGAATGAGCTTTTTAGCTCCTTTGTCATCTTTTGAAAGCCAATAAGTGCCTTAATATTACACCGAAAGAGCAGTAGAAATGTCACGATTCACAAGGTTTCATTAAATGAGTATGAAGATGGTTTCGCAAGATCTTTAAAAATTTGAAGTCAAATTGTGTCATTGTGCTGTCTTCTCTATGCAAAGTCGTATACTAATGAGGCAACAAATGATGCTATGGCGTTTGCCTTGAAATGAAAATAGCTCTATAAGTTAGGAGAACATTTTAATGAGGCTTAGAGGCCCATTTGTCAAAAGACTGTTCGGTTTTACAGCTTAGGAATTCGCTCACTAATTATGAGTCAGTCGGCAACCCAGATGTGTTACACGCGGCCGTATTAGCAACAAGTAAGTCATTGTCATTCTTGCGGAACACTTCAGGTGATCCCACCCGTGAGGGAACATAAAAAACACTTTCCATAGAGCCCAATTTCCAGGAGCACGTTCCAGATAAGGCCCTGGGTCGTGGAACGCTGGCCTTGACCTTATCCTCAGGATTTATTGGGACTTGCTTAACCAAAATGACCGGGTTGCTCCCCAGCAATGCAACGGTTCTTCTTAGTATCTCAACGTACATCGCTAGAACGATCACCGAGATGATAAGAACAGTGGCAAGCGCCAAAAGAAGGCCAGTTAAAATCATTTCCATTTCAGCTCCCATTGCTTTCTTGCCTGTCTTTAGCTTTAGATTAGTGGTTGTGTCTGCTTAAAAAGCAGCAGCTGAAGAAAGAGACGAAAACAAAAACAGTTAATAAGGCCTGTTTGCATTAGGTGGCAGTTCGTGAGTGCGTGCTTTGAGTCCACTCAGGTTTCTTGAAGAGAATTCTTGGACAGCACCTACACCTGACCCTCACCTTTTATGAGCATTCACGTAGGGGCCAGACCACCCCCCTAATGTTTCATGAAGGCTATATTT